GATCGAGGAGATGAAAAGATATAGCAACTATTAACAACAAGGAGAATAATGATTCACTTAGCTTACGGATAAGTGGACATAAATTTGTTGTTGTAACAATTAGTGGTCCTGTTGCATAGAGTATGGAGAAATTTTCAAAATAAACTTTTTTTTTTAAATTTAATTGGCAAAATCGACTTTCTCAAAATAAAATTAGCATCTTTGACTTTTTTTGCCAGCTGGCCAAAAAGATGTCGAAATTGCAAGAGTAAGCTTCATAATTACACGGGACTAGTAGTCCTGTGTAATTACAATAACTAATCTCCCCTATATCTTTAGTCCCGTGTAATTACAATAACTAATCTCGCCCATATATCTAGTCACGTGTAATTACAATAACTAATCTCCCCCATATCACCTGTGACCCCTCTCTCTCTTCATGCCCTCACTTCACACATACACACACACACTATCTCTCTCCCCCCTGTGCCCATCTCTCTCACCTCCCTCTCCCTCACAACCACTCTTCTCTCCCCACTCTGCCCATCTCTCTCGCCTCCCTCTCTGTTCACACCAGACTCCCTTTCCTCGGTCGCAAAACCACGCCACCACAGGGCCGCCGCAGCCGCGCATCATCTTTTCCTACATTCTGCTCGGTCTCTCCGCTCTTTTTTCCGTCTTCTGCTACGCCGAATTCGGCCGTCGGATTCCCCTACGCTGGCGGCTTGTTCTCATACGCTCCGCGTCGAGCTCGGCGACTTCATAGCTTTCATCGTCGCCGCCAACATCCTCCTCAAAGCCCTCGTCGGAGCCACCGGCCTAGCCCGCTCGTGGACTTCATACTTCTCCGCTCTCAACCTCGATGTCGATGCGCTCGCCGTCACCGCCTTCGTCATCACTGCAGGGTTCTGCCCCCTCGAAGATGGCCAGTTTGCGTTGAATTTTTGGATGTTTAAAACACGAGACTAACAGTCCTATGTAAATTAATGAGCTGATTAGTAGCCGCTAATTACACGGGACTATTAATCCCATGTAATTAAAAAACTGATTTCAGCAAAATCGTCCGTTTTCTGCCAATGTTGGTAGAAAACGGTGACAGAAAACGGTCGATTTTGCTCATTTTTTTCAAATAGGTCGATTTTGCCTATTAAATTTAAAAAATGGTTCATTTTGAAAATTTCTCCCACAGTATTATATGCAGCTATACATAAATACTTAATTAATATGAAGAATGAAAATGCACTGATCTAGCATTCATCAAATTGATCCATATGATTTTATTTATTTATTTATTTGGCATCACTTTAATATATTTGTATACATATCATTTTCTTCATAAAATACCTTTTCCTGCCCTTCTAAAAGTCGGACCTTTATGCAACCTCTGTCGTGTGCTGGCCCCTTCAACTACTTTACTTTTCTAGATCATCAACCTGACTTTACAGTTTCTGCCTTTCCCTTCTAAATGACCCATCTGCTCGTACTGTCTTCGTTGTTTGACCATTTTCTCAAAATGTTGAATACTTTATTCTTTTTCGTTTAAGGTTTTTTTGGGTAATGTAGATATTACATGTTCGCTCAACAATATTGATCTTCAACTGGATGAACTGTTATGCTATCTGAAAAGTCTATTATCTGGTGCAATATCTCCATCTCTTTTCTATAGCTAGTTAGATGGAGCATAGATATAGATCAGGATCCCATTTTGAAAGAACACTAGTATTTGTGTAAGGTTCCTTTGTTGTTTAATTGATAAATGTTCATCCCAGCTTCTTACGCTCATTGTATGTCTTTTTGATGCAGTTAAATTCATTGCAGCATGAGGTACCAGCCATCTCCCAGGAGAAGATAACAATAAAAAACAACAGTGGGGAGAATCTTGTGGGGACTTTACATGATGTTGGTTCAAATAATCTAGTGATATTGTGCCATGGGTTTCGATCATCCAAGGAAAGCAAGACTATATTAAGCATTACTGATGTTCTAACAAATGAAGGAATCAGTGTTTTTCGTTTTGATTTTTCCGGAAATGGGGAAAGCGAAGGCTCGTTCCAATATGGTAATTTTTGGAGAGAAGTTGATGACTTACGTGCTGTGATACTATATTTAACTGGGCAGAAGCGTAAAGTTGATGCTATTGTTGGGCATAGTAAAGGAGGCAATGTCGTACTCTTATATGCTTCTAAGTATCAAGATATTTCCACAGTCATTAACATTTCTGGACGCTTTGATTTAAAAGGCGGAATTGAAGGACGCCTTGGGAAGAACTTTATGGAGAAAATAAGAAAGGATGGATTTATTGGCGTAACAGACAAAAAGGGAGAATTTATGTATCAAGTGACGAAGGAAAGTCTGGAGGATCGTCTTCGCACGGATATGCGTGCAGCATGCTTGTCAATTGAGCAAAGTTGCCGGGTCTTGACAGTTCATGGTTCAGAAGATGAAACTGTACCCTTTGAAGACGCTTTAGAGTTTTCTAAGCTCATCATCAACCACAAATTGCATATCGTACAGGGGGCTGATCATAGATACATGTCCCATCAATTAGAGTTAGCTAAAACATTGCTGGAATTTATTAGATCTAATTAAGTTGAAAATGCAAATATATTTCGAGACTGTGAAGAGGATATCAAATTCGAGATGGACTCCATTAATCTTCGAGAGATACTGGAGGGGAAGATTGTCTTTAAGGTTTGCTTGTTTTCTTTTTAGCTCGAAACTGTTCTTTGCCAAACGTAGACGAGTTTTCTTTTGTTCGCATTTGGAAGTTCCCATTATCGTCTAAATGCAAAATTATGTATTGACACGTATTCTAGAATGACAATACTTCCTTTATTATATATGCAATATTGTTCTGCTTTTTCTATGTCCTTATTGCGAAGAACATGAAGTGTGGATACTTAAATGAAATAGATGCAACTGCTTCGGACGTGTATTAGTTGCTCAAGGATTTCGATGCTATACTGATTGCCACAATTTTTTTAAAGGTCTATCGAATACAATATTAGAGGATATCTAGGGGGCCTGAGGCATGCTGGAGTCTAAAAATTCTCGAAGCCTCAACGTGTTGTCACCAGTTTAGTAAGACGTTTGTTAGGAGGGACATTTCTATAATTAACATAATTAAGATATTATTAAGGTATTATTAAGGTTTTTCAGTCCTTCGATTACAATGTTTAGGCGGTACTGAAGCCGCCAATAATTCTCTATCCTAAACCTTCACCAACCTAATCACCCGTTATCAACCATAAAGCCACCACTAAACTAAATCCCTTACCGCAATGTTATAGCCACCTTCATCCACAGCAAAATCAGTTACCCCTAATCTGATGCCAAAACAAATCACCCAAAATACTCCTCTTAACGTGAGTGATATGTTAAATTTATTTGGAAATATTTGTTATTTGGAAATATTCAGGGGTCCAAATACTTGTGCAGATATTAAAGTTATTTGGAAAAATTTGTTACCGTGTTTCTGCTGGTGAATGTGGAATTGTAGAAACTAACTCATATTTGGAGACTTCCATGCAAATCCTATTCATATTGAAGCTAATATCGCTAGGTATGTCATTTTTTTGGAAGGAGCCGAAGATGACAAACTAGCGAGGCGTATTCGTAGGGCTGCCCAAAACTTGAAGATGCAAGAAATTGCAAAGAACACTGCTGGTGCTTGTGGGGACAACTTCTCCAATGCCAATTGACTTGGCCAGCGTTTCTCTCCAAGTATGCCTCTCCTGCGCCTGCCTTGTTTTCTCGAAAACTTGCTGTTTGTCTTCGTGCTGTAAGAATTCAATGTTTGTGTTTCTGTGTATCAGACTCTATATTAGTTCGCGTGTTTTTCTTTTGGCCTTGAGTGAAGGATCTTAGTAGAGTTAAGTCGGTAGATGACGACTAGGTCCGCTCCTTACCACTTATTCTTTTCTTTGATCTTTCCTCACGGCTTAATTGTTAGTTTTGTATCAGACTTTTTTATCTTAGTATCCTTATATATAATTCTTTATGAACAGAGTATCTCACCCTATTTTTCAGTTAAAAAAAAGAACATGAGTGATATGTTTCATCATCCATTATAATTTCAGATTTACTTAGTCCTTTACTCGCCCCGTGTTGGTAAAATAAGTAAACTAGGAAATTTTGAGCAATTATTTATTTGATACTAGTGTTCGCATTTTTGTCTATGAGATCCATCCATCTTTCGTCCAGAGTGTTGCAACTCTTTTTGGCATTTATCATCTATGCTTTAGATAAGTACGAAGAAATAGTAAGTATAAACTGTGTTTGTTATCAATTCTTTACATTTCTGTAAACAATATAATAAATAGAAACTGTAAATGCCTGTCCTATACCCGCATTCTTAAGAAGCTAGGTTAGCCTAGGAGTCTGATGTACTTGGGGCTGGCTGGTTTGCTCGGGGAGAAGAAAACAACAAATATTGCAGGAACAAATATGCACAAACATTTGTTACCGGAAATCAACTTTAAATTCGATGTTTGGATATCTGCAATTAAATTGTAGGAAATGTATTTTCAAATGCAATTTTAGTGTTTGTTTGAAAAACAATTAGTCAAAAGCTACAAGATTTTATCATACAAGAAAACTTTGGGGTAGATGGTTTTTTGTTGTATCTAAAAAGATTTCTTTTGATGAGGTGGAATTCTTTTTATTTTTTTAATTCTCATTCTTGAAGCCTGCAACTTTTCCTCCCACTGGGCACAACATTTGTTGCAATTTTGGTTTTAAGAAAATGAGTTTATTTATCTTTCTTAATTACAAAGGTATAAACTAAACAAATCATTTACAAATCCCATTGCTCTATTTACATTTACAACTTCACTTCCGTCTAACCAAACAGCCCCAAAAGGTTTGGTTCCAATTGTACTTCATTCATTCGTTCTGAAATAGGATGATAGTACTTTAAAGTTTCCTTGATTGATCTCTCTTCGAATAAACAAGTGACACATACATCAGTTGTGCAGGATTAAGTGAGTCATTATGTGTAACTTGGTATGGATAAAGCACCCATCTGTTAGTCTCGAGAGTGTAGACCAAACCTGGAATCAAATCAACGAAGAAAATTAGAAAAACCCAGTTCGGTCGACCGACGGAGGAGATCCGGTTGACCGCGATGCCTGTAAGAAACAAGCGTGAGAAGCTCGCTCTGGCCGGTCGACCGACAGGGATGATCCGGTTAACCAAAAATCCTGTAGAAATCTAAGCCCAGAATCGAGCTCTGGTCGCTCGACCGACACGAGGACTCCGGTCGACCGAAAATGTGCACGAGCAGACCTTGTATAATTAACACTATGGTCGGTCGACCGAAGTCATTGGTCCGGTTGGCCGATGTCGGGATTTTCAGTTTCCTGATTCGTTTGGGATTCTGTTTTGGGCTGGGATCCTATATATACCTAAATGTTTTTTGGGTTTATAAAACACGTGAAAAAAGGGTTTTGAGAGGGTTCTTTTAGAGAGATCTCAGAGAGATAAAAACCTATTTGTGGACATTGTAATATTCTTCAATTAATCAAAGAATTGTGTGGTGTGGCTCCCGAGGACGTAGGCACGTTACCGAACCTCGTTAAATCTGGTGTGTTCTTACTTGTTTATCTTTCCTGTAATTTTTCTTTTATTTGCGGTGATTTTCCTACTTGCTAAACTCTTAGCACAAAGTCCGGAAGGGCATGAGTTCGATTGATTGTTTCGAATTCCCAACAACAGGTATCAGAGCTTCGTTCAGAAGATTTGTGCAAGAACCATGGCAGAGGAAAGAAAATCAAAGATCGAGAAGTTTGACGGATCATACTTCTTCTACTATAAGTCACAGATGGAGGACTATCTGTACCAGAAGGATCTTTACCATCCGTTGATGGGCAAAGCTAAGGGAAAAAAGGAGGAGGAATCAGACGAGGAGTAGGAAATACTAGATAGGAAGGTTTTAGAGCAAATCCGGTAGTCACTCGCCAAATCGGTCACCCATAATATATTGAAGGAGAAGACGACAGTGGGGCTTATGGAAGCACTCGCGAAGACGTACGAGTAACCGTCAGCCGCAAACAAGGTGCATCTTGTCAAAACGCTCTTCAATCATAAGATGGCAGAAGGATGCTCCTTCATGATGCACCTCAGCGAGTTTAACAAAATTGTTGATCAACTTATCTCCGTAGACATCACGTTTGATGATGAAGTGCAGGCCCTATTGATTCTATAGTAGTTACCGGATAGTTGGGCATGTTGGGTAACCGCAATTAGCAACTCGGCGGTGAAGGAGAAGTTGAAGCTGAGCGAGGTTGTTAGCATGATTCTATCCGAAGAGGTTAGAAGGAAATCGTCTGAATCAAAAGGTTCAGGTTCAGCCCTAAATCTCAAGCAGAGAGGCCGAAGGCAGAAGAAGGGTAACCGGAATAGGAATCGGTCGAAGTCAAAGAAGAAAAGGTCAAACTCAAAGGTTAGGTCTATCAAAAGGAAGTGTTGGTACTACGGCCGGGAGGGCCATATGTCTTCATTCAATAAAGCACAAAAAAAGGATGTGAATGAGCAGGAGGCTCATATCATGCAAGATACCTTGATCCTTGCTATGGGCATCGATTCTAATTCATGGGTAATTGATTCAGGAGCCTCGTTCCATGCCATTGCTAATAGAAAGCTTTTTCAGAACTATATAGCAGGGGACTTTGGGAAAGTGTACTTGGGGGACAACTAACATTGCAGTATTGTTGGAAGAGGCGACATACAGATTCAGATAAAGGGCTCTAAGTGGAATCTGAAGAATGTCAGACACGTACCGAAGCTGAAGAGGAATTTTGTTTCGGTAGGCCAACTTGGAGCAGAATGCCATGTTTCAATATTCACCTGGGATTCGTGGAAAATCTCCAACGGTACTATGGTGGTTTCCCGAGGCAACAAAACAGGAACTCTATACCTCACTTCCCATACGAGTAACACCCTCGCAATTGAAGATGTCAAGGAGAGTGCAGATCTGTGGCACAATAGGCTAGGACACATGAGTGAGAAGAGTACAAAGATTCTACACTCACAAGGAAAGCTAAACGGCATCAATTTAGTGAAAGTTGGTGTTTGTAAAGATTGCATCTACGGGAAGCAGAAGAGGGTCAGCTTTCAGAAGGGTGGAAGGCCACCTAAAGCTCAGAAGCTAGAGCTTGTTCATACAGATGTATGAGGCTCATTTAGCGTGTCTTCTCTTTTATCGACAATCACTCGAGGAAGGCGTGGATATACTTCATGAAGCATAACTCAGAGGTGTTCAGGATCTTCAAAAAGTGGAAATCTATGGTGGAGAAGGAGACAGATCTGAAAGTGAAGTGTCTGAGATCAGACAACGGTGGAGAATACGAACTGGAAGAGTTCAAGAGGTTCTGTGCTCTAAATAGAATTCGTTTGTAGAGGACTACTCCAGGGACAGCATAACAGAACGCCATTGCAGAAAGGATGAACAGGACATTAATGGTTCTGTGCTCTGAATGGAATTGCATCTATATGCAAGTCTACCTAAGACGTTTTGGGAAAACGCGGTGCATACAACAACTTATCTGATTAATCATGGGCCATCAGTTCCATTAGATTTCGGGATTCTAGAAGAGGTTTGGAGTGGCAAGAATGTTAATCTCTCACACTTGGGAGTATTTGGCTACGTGGCATATGTTCATATTAGTGACCATGTCAGAGACAAGCTAGAAGCTAAGTCACAAAAGTATACATTCATTGGATACAACATTGATAAGTTCGAGTATCGTCTTTGGGATGAGAAGAATAAAAAAATCACCAGGAGAAAAGACGTCATATTCAATAAGGATGTGATGTACAAGGACATGAAAAATGCTAAGGATAGCCAAAGTAGTGGGAAAAGCACTA